GAGGCGTGACCCGGACTCGAGACGATGTATGTCGTGATGGACGATGATATACCCTGGTGACGCATAGCACAGTATTGTTGGATGTTACATTGCTCCGTACGTACTTATTATCTACGTATATAGTGGGCTCAAACGAAGCATCCAGTAAAACAACCGTGCCGGTATTGGACGGAATGAACCGAGCGTGTCTGACTGACTGAAGCTTTTTTTTCCTCGGCAGAGTGCGCCGAAATGGAAAGATCGGGTTTCACTTCTCGTGTGGTCCTTTGAATGTGGTGTCAGTGTCGACGCCGAAAAAACGACGGCACGAAGAAACGACAGGGAGCTTGCATGCATTGACTCCACTACAATACCCGGAAGGTGCGCCCAGGCGGGCTCACCCGCCCGCAGTAAAAGCTCCGTAGGTGCACCACGGCTCGTAAACACTGTACACGCACAGGGGCGTGGTGATGTTGCTTCAATGCTCTCTTCGAGTCAGTAAAATCGAACAAAGTTGATCGCACTGCTCAGGCCGAACCTGCAATCGCGCAGTGAGATACGATCGATCGCGATCGATCCCGTGTATCGAGGACACTCGATCATCTCTTCCAGTCAGCTGTGTCTCCTCTTGTATTTCATCATGAGTAGTGTGTATCGTCAAAGGACAAACACGTCACAACGTTCTTTACACCATAATTGTCTCCAATACCAGCCTACCAACTACTTCACTAGTACATTAGGTCATTGTACATATCCAATACGAATAGAGATCGTGGTCGCCTCGAGATCGAGCTGTCAGCATAGTCCTTGGTTTCAGCTCAGACCGGCTTTGGAGAACCAGTCATTGGAGTCTACTCATCTTGAGCAAGCGCTCATCCCTTTAGGCGTACTCCCAAATCCATTCAAACCATGGCCTTATGTCGGGTTACTCAGTTTGTGCCATATAGCATGCTGAGTTCGCTTGTCTATACCATTTCGGGCTCGTGAGGACCCAGGATCGTTTGCTTTTCGGGTCACAGCCAAGTCAGCGAAATGTTGTGCGTACTGCATCACTGCATCCGCGAACTCTTCACGGGTAGCACAGGCCCTTCCCACGCGAAGAGCCTTGTCGATGTTGTATGCTGTAGTTTGTATGCAGCTGTTACACGAGCATGCATCGGCTTGCAAAGTAGAAGTAAGAATACCCCGGTGTGACGTTCTATGCCGGTTGGAATACCGTTTCCGCGCGAGACCTGTTGTGCTGTTAGCATGCCATAATTCCTCGAACGGAGGCTTCTTCATCTGTCAGGTCATCATTAAATTACGCACAAATACATTGTCCAGTGGCAGTCAACATCGCTGTACTGATGCGGTGTCCATGATACCGCTCGATTGGAAAGAGCGAGCCAAAAGAGTTCACGCCGTTGTCTGGGTGATATGGAACGCCCACTCAACGATCGTGCCAGTCACTCGTGTTCAGATGTGCTCATGGCTTGGGGTTCCAAATTTGTAGCAGCCAGTGTGTTTCGACGATGTGGGGGTACAACGGGGAAGCGGCTAGTGATAGCGCAGCGAGCGGGGCAAGAAGCATGCTTACAGCGGATACGGAGAATTTGAGATTATGTGGACGACGGTTCAACATGGTCTTCGCCGCAGTATGACTGCACTGGATAGGGAAGTTGACTCCCGCATCCGCGTGCAGTTACCGTAAACCACAGCGTGCAGCAACAAGCCAAATCCAGTTATCTGTATTGGCTGGCGGGCGATTTCTGTGTATGAAGATCCGTCCTACCAAGACGAGACCTGCAGGAAGCTGTAGCAGGACTAATTGTTCGATTCGAGTACTGACTGTTAGTCGGTGAAGTCGATACAGCCAGGGTGTGCTGAATCGTTCACGGTTCGCTTCACATATTCCAACCAACTGGTAATTTGACTGAGAGAGTAAGTGGACGTTCGCAAGCGCTGATATCTCAAGATGTATCCTGCATGTCAAGGCAGGTCCGGATTGGCTTGGGAGACGTTTCCAGTAGTGGAGACGACCGTGCATGGAGCTGCAGTTGACCTTTGCTGGACCTCCGTCAGGACGGTACATGTTGTTTTCTCTCGAACATATCTCGAGCAGAATATCGGGGTTGGAAGCATGCGATATCCTTGAGAGAAAGGATTGATATAGACTAGCCTTCGCTCCTAGCTTGGACCAGATTGCGGCAAACTAGCGGGAGATTTTGTCAATGCTGATGGCGAATGTTGAGGTAGTCTTTTACCGGGTTCTAGGACCAAGTTCCGGGCTCGTGGAACAGATGCATGAACAGGGTCTATTTCAGATGCAGTTTACATCTATGCGGCCCAGGATAGTTATACAAACTGACTCCGGCTCACGTAGCTACAGCACCACACCCATACCTCTTTGTTACGTATGAGAAGTGTGCATGCTTCTTCCACGCTAATGCAATGTAACAAAGAACTTGTGACGACGAAACTGTATGTGCGCGCCGAGCGGAAAACTTGGACAAGGTCTCCAGTGTGGCGAGCAATCTATCGGCTTGAGAGGGCTTGCGCTTCTTGTGTGTGACTTCACCGCGACAAGGTATTGTTCTAGTTCATGAGATTACTCAAAGGAAATGGCGGCTAAGGGTCCGTGGGGAAAAGCGTATGGCGAACGCGGTGGTGACGTGGGGTGGTGGCGTATAAAGGTTCGTGACATTCTCCTTGGAAGTGCAACCCCCAGATTTCCCCAGATTTTCTCCACGGTCTTCTGGAATTTCGTACACCAAAAGCTTATTCAAGATCCAGCTGGAATCTGTGTCCGCAATCGCCGATCTCGAGTACGAGACAGACACGCACACGTGCTTTGGATGTAAGTTCGCCAGGTTCCACCACGGCCAGCAAGCTGACAATCGCCGTAGTTCCCGAACACAGGATCGGACGGAAAGTCATACCATCTACGCCTCTGATATGTGCTTTTACGAGAAGATCAAGTTTCCTTGTGGCCATGCGGAGCATCGGCTCATGCAGCACTGTCACTTCGCACGCAACGATCCCGGTCACCAATGTTTTGGGGCTTGGAACATTAGAAGAACGTGGGATCAGCAAGAAACGAACTGCACCAACTGTGTCCGACAGAGTCAATACAATTCATCGGTGCATACGACCCCATCAGCGTATACCTTTGCCGGCGAAAGATGACTGGTCCACTGGATGCAATTCAGGCCAGAGCTTTCTCTTGTAGAGTAATGGTCTTCTCTCAGCCGGGGGAAGTAAGTGCAATAGCCAAAACCTGTATAAACCTGAAGGAGATGTAGAGAAAGAGGCTATCGTTGGTTTCGTCGAGGTTTCGTGTATGTTTGTACGCCTGGGCGGTTGTTCAATTGCTTTTACGGCGAACCCTAACGCTTGTAATGTCCTGAGTTGACAGTTCGGGCGCCATCTTCTGTGGGTACGATCTTCACTGTACACTATTAGTATTGTCCCTACATATCACCAAATATATGGTAACAGGCATATGGCCTCGTATGAACGGCAAGTGTCTCCAATGGGCAGTTGCGACATGGTGCTCGATACTACTGACGGCTCTACCGAGAGGCGCAATGATGGCGGTATCGAAACCTGCGAACATCAACTTCACCTATGTGGTGCCTGATCACGACACGCGTGGCGTCAAAGATTGGTTGGTCGTGGCGTGTGCAATGAGGGAGTTCGTGACGACCTCGGGAAATGACATGAGGCTCGTGCGACTAACCTAGCGCGGCATGGGCGTGGAGCCCCACCTGCCACCAGAGACAGGCCAGCATCGTGACTTCCCATCCGACATTCTGCATCATTTACACCGACATTTAGACCTCCACCATGTCAGACTCTACAGAGCAGCCGAAGAAGGAGAAGTTTGCGCCAAAGCAACCCGTCGCACTGAACCCCCCGAAGGATGATGTCATTGAACGCGATTACCTTGCAAAGTGTGATGGTACGGCTTCACAACGACTGGCTGGCGTTTCAGTGGCCAGGCACTGACCATCAGCAGGCACAAACGAGGGTTTACCCACTCTTGTCGCAATCAAGGTAACTATAGCTGCTTTTCTTCAACGGTGTCCTCGTGCAAGCGCAGAAGAAGTTGACCATCATCAGGGTGACGTGTTCGACGTGAGTGGCAAGGAGACGTACGCACCTGGGAAGGGCTATCACGGTTTGTCGCCTGAGATGCAGCATCAAGTCGTACCATAAACGACTAACCTATCGTCCTAGTGTTTGCGGGGAAAGAGCCCAACCGTGCCCTTGGCCTGTCTTCTCTCAAGCCTGAAGACTGCATATCGGACTACTCCGGACTTTCCGATAAGGAAAAACAGGTTCTTAATGATTGGCATACATTCTTTAGCAAGCGTTACAACATAGTCGGACGGTTACCTTCTGATGGCGCCAATCTCTAGGCGGTCCATGTCTCCAATCGTCGACTAGCACACGCCCTATTATCGGCCCGTGTAATGTAGCAGTTCAAAGCAACCAGGTTCTACTGAGTCAACTGAAAGGCGCTTTGAGTGTCACATGCACTGCACTGAAAATGTGGAGAAGCGATTCGATGAGACCACAAAGCTTGGAAGCAAACCGAATCCATCACATTCAGTCTGTGTCCGAGGAAGTGTACTATTTATGGTCGTACGATGATATCAAATCATTCTCAAGTTCTGAGATGGTAGACACCGTATCGAGCACGGTGAAGTACGATGGCTGATAGTGTGCCTGCTAAGCTGCCCAGATACCCAACAAAACGACACAGCCAGAGATCGTTCTGCCTATGAACCCACCTGACTTCTACCCGTGTCACAACCCCCATTGAGTTATCACGGCATCATCGCTAAGATGGCGACCTCACCATCAAAGCAATTAGAGAATGAACGACCTCTGCAGCGGCCAATACGGTGGTTTCACCCGGGTTATCGTAAATGGGAGCCACTTCCACTGCGGCGAGTACATTCAGTCAGCTTCTAGTGCTCTTACTAATAAGTCAACGGGGCTCGGGAAATGCGTACCAACATCTGCCCCAACGACGTCTAGTCCTTCGAGACCATCTAGGATGGATAAAAGCTCTCGTGTGCTCCATCCACCGACTTCGGCAGTTCCCGTAGCTATTTGCATGTGTCAGTCACAATGTTGCAGAGTATTTCAAGAGTGGACGTTAACGATGCTGGGTCTGAGATGATCGTCCTTGTTATGTTTTGTTTGACGACTTACCAGGTGCGAATGCCGGATCGAGTACGTCTATGTCGACACTGATGTAGACCTTCGTTCCAGCGACGCGAGATTTGAGCTTGTCGATAATTCCAGCTATACCCAATCGATCGATTGCCCGGGCCTTGACCATCTCAAAACCACATCGAAGGTCGTTGCGCACATCACCTTTCGGCCGTACTACAGGAGCTCGGATGCCCGCGTGTATACTAGTATTCCGGATCAAGCCCTCCTCATGAGCAATGTGCAAGAATGTTCCATGGTTGACACCACTGTCGTACTGTATCAGCGATATGCAGGGAACGTTCTGATATTCGGACTCACGCATAATGGGAGATACCTCCGCCTTTACTATGTCAGTTTCTGATCAGATCGGTGAGCACTTCGGCTTACCTAGTACTTCTGGGTCCCAGGTGTCTACGCAGCCGTCAGCGAAGCTCAACAAAACGAGCCGCGAGCCTACCGATGTGACTGTCGAAGTGTATTACGCTCACCGGCCCCCAGTGATGATGAGTCGATCGAAGGGCCGATAAGGTTGTGGTATGATCACCACCTAGCGTCACAATCTTTGGTGTCGTGCGCTCGCTCGAGTTGGTCGCTCTTGAGGACACCATCTTGGCGATGGTCGTCAGACATTTGAACCAGTCATTTCGTGCGTTCACCAACCTTGTGCGCCTTATCAAGCTGCTTCAAGGCCGCAGTGTTATCCTTCCAGGTGCGTTATTTATAGTCTTCCTTGGTCGTTCCTTCAGTGTCTTACCAAAAAGGTTAAAGGAGCGTCGCCACAGTCGATAACTTTTGCCCAATTCGCGAAGACGTTCTCGCCTGAGCCCCGTCAGTCACTAGGTTACGAAGTCGCTTCGTCACAATGATTAGTGTCTCTCGATGCAATGTTGGCTTCATGCAGGAGCGAACGGAGCAGCATCTTCAAGACAACAAGAACTGCAACCAAGATTAGGGTACACAGGACAAATTCTAGCGCACGAATGGACGCCTCGAGAACACAACTTGCCAAGATGACGTGGTGTAACAAGTGCCGCTCGTTGTTGCTTTGTTTTGAACAACGCTCTAAGTCCGTGCTTGCGGGATGAACGCCCATACGCGCACCCTCATGATAATACGACATACCTGTATATATTGACCAAGCAGCGTCTGGCGATATCCGACTTGAGCCCTGCCGGATGCCACTCGGGCCGAAGCGCGCTCCAGGCCGTGCCGTAACGCCCTGCCCGTTGTTAACCTTGGCTGTTGCGATGTGCCCGACTCCGATGCGGTGTCTCGCGCACACAATGTACATGACCTACAGTGTCAAACGGCGCACCAAGAATTGCGATGTCGAAGGGCTCCACATCCTGGCCTTCTGCTGCTAAACAGTGCACATACGGCAAATTGGCGTATGTCATCAGCCCTGCAAACTTTGCTTGGGTGATGTCCCTTTCAAGGTTGCCATGAGCAATAATCTGCTGCGACGGATAGCCAGAAATTGGTGGAAAGGTAACATCGCGAGCGCTTGCGAAGAGCCTGAGGGAAGATGCTAGTAACAACAACGATTTAGGTGCCATCGTGAACAAGAGAGATTGAATTACAAGCAAAAGGTGAGCAAAGCTACCTCAATTAACAATATACCTAAGTAACGTGCTTATCTCCATTGCAAGCCGGTGGTGATGCCCGCGACCAGTTGCATTAAGCCCTAAATGGCAGGTACAGCCGATCGTGCCCCGCGATCCGCCTGCAACGGCTGTCAGTTTGTTACCACTTCCAGAACACGCCGACGGCGCGTATAACCTCGCACACCAGACTCTGCTTATCTTCGGAAGTCATTCGAAGACCTCCCGTCTGTCTTCATCCTCGGGTCCGTCTCTAGGACAATAGGCATGATGTCATGCAAGCACTGCCTCCAGCTCATCCTCTGAGGGTCGCCCTCCATCTGTGCGTTCGTGGTCCGGTATCTCTTCCAGGCGCTATTGTTACTGCGCCTTCACTACCAGGTCCTTCTCGACTATTTCTTCTCACAGGGTGACACGTATTCCAATGCATTCTCCTTGAACAGCTTTAGATCCCAGCTGTTCTGCGGTGAACCTTATGGGCGCAAGGATGTCGTCTGCGCCTAATTCAAACTTGGATTATTGCAAAGCACCAATGATGTGGACACTCGTGCTCTTCGCTGACTTCGTTGGCATTAGCTCCGCTGTGTGCTGAGTCTGGCGTCCATGGATGACATGTCAAGACAGCGCCTAGCTCATCATAGCGGTAACTTCACACTCATACAACAGTTCCTTCTTCGCCAGACTTGCAACACCGACAACCGTATCAGGTGGTCTATGCCCATCCGCCTCATTGTCCATAAATTCGATCCAGATATCTCCCCAGCCACGATCTACTACATCCTTTCGATCCTGCTCCGGGTTGCCGGTCTCCTTGACGATATAATGTCGAACATGCACCTGATTACATCAAAGTTAGTGGCATGGCCAACACTGCCTTGAAAGTGCTCAATCAAGATTCATAGCGTACAATGTCTCGTGGTGTGGCTCCAGCCGCCGCCAAGCACTTGTGAATGCTATCATAAGCCCCCTTTGCCTGCTCTTTAATGTCGGATGGGATGGTATGATCTTTTTGAAGGCCCGTTTGACCAGCAAGAGTGATCAATTTGGATGACGGCACTATTGGAGTGATGCAGACTTGGTTGTATGTCGGTGGAGGTTCCGGTACGTTTTCCGGGTTGAACGCATGGGGCTTGTTAGATGACATGACTGAAATCAAGACAATCGAAGCAGTGTCACTTGTTGGTGTTTCCTATATGTTCTTTGCTCGAGTATCACGATAGCATCTCGGCGTGAGGGGCATTTTTGCGTGCACTTGCCGCGCCTAGTAGTCAAACATGTGGGCCTCACTGGCGTTGAAGCATGGGCCTTGATGACATCACGGACTTTCGTCACGCGAATCCAATTTCACCACGCAAACAGGACGCGACAAACCTCACACCACTGCAAACAGCCCGGCTGGCTGATTAAACATTACCACATCATTGGGCCAAAGTGGATTACTTCATTCACGGATAAAATTCCACCTGCAACCGGGCGAATGAGATGCAGGCCAACACGCGCCTGCCTCCGTTCGAATGCGGGGAAAGCTCCAGCAGCGAGAGCGTTAAAGCCGTCTGCTCGTGACAGTTCGCGCAACCTCAGCTCACACCCCTTTGTTTGACAGACACTGCTCGTATAATGGCGTCTGGCTGGTTCAGCTCATCGTCGAGCGACCCAACGCGTCCTCCGGACGTTCGCGTCCAAGTTGCTGAACAGAAACCTCACGACTTCTACCTGCAGCCCGGCTCGGGAAGCAGCCCAAGACCCGCCACCAACCGCTCAGCGGGCTCAGTACCTGCGGCTTATGTGGATACGACTCATTCCAAGGTCCATGTCCACAATGCTTCACTTTTCGATGTAGGCATCCTGAAAGACACGCTTGTCCCATCACTCACCCTGCATTCTGGCTTGGCCATCATTGCGTACGGAGCTGCGCGATACACAAACCGCGTCGAAGCCAAGGACTGGCTTTGGCCCAGTGGTCAGGTCGTGAACGCCTGGTGGTCTGCCGTTGGACGCCGTCTTGCTCAAGGCTACACCGTCTCGCAAGCGTTCAGTCGTCTATCATGGCACGAGCGTGTTATCCTTACGGGCGTTACATTATGGGGAGGACGTCTCTTTTACCGCATCGTTAATCGTTCCATCCAACGAGGCGAGGACGACCCACGATATGCCGAAGTCAAGAAGGAGGAGGGCTTCTGGAACAGCGCGTTGTTCAAAGTCTTCATACCCGAGGCCTTCTTCCAGATGCTCATCAGTCTGCCGTTTACCGCACCATTCCGACACGAGGGTGCTGTCATGACAGGCTATCACCCCTTTGTTCAGATGTTTGCTGTCGGCTTGTTCTCTTCAGGATTGGCGATGGAGACACTTGCAGACTACCAGCTAGATCAGTTCAAGGCCGAAGGCAATAAGGGCATCATGCGCGAAGGAGTATGGAGCATTGTCCGCAACCCCAAGTATGTACCCCTGTTCCAGAGTCCATGCCATTCGCTAATGTCGTATAGCTACCTCGGTGACGCCCTCGTACACATCTCCTTCATCGTCATGCTTTACGGCTCAGACATGCTTGCCCCTATCGAACTCCTAGGCCCCGCCGCGAATTACGCCTTCCTCCGCTTCTTTGGCGGCGACGCCGAGAAAGAGAAACACCAAGAACGCCGATACTCCGCATCTCACCCCGAGAAGTTCCGCGAATTGGAGAAGTTCCGAGCGGATAAGAATGCTTTCTGGCCGAGCGTAGATGAGCTAAGCAACAAATGGTTGTGGACTGTTTTGGGTGTTGGAGGCTTGGGTATCGCAGTCGAGCAAACGCTTCGGGCGCTGCACTAGGTCTTGCCGTCTAAGGTTAATGAGGCTTGCCCACAAAGCTGTCTATGCGGTAGGCGCTCAGTGTTCTCGATTAAGTTTGTACGATATAATTAGTTTAGATAGTCAATTTCTTTACTGACATTTCAACTTGGCAGTCCCTACGCACGTTAGCATCAATTGTCTGTCACAAACATTGTGATGTTTTCCCAACAAATCTGTCGTTCCGTAACAGATGCGTCAACAAGCCCAGGGTTTGCACATCACAACGAATGTCCGGTTTACCAAACGACACGAGTACATTGACAAACCTGACCATAGACTTGGTTGTATAACTGCCATTTTGTGGCTTCTTGTTATAACACCAGTGGTCAATGTCCTACCGTCACCGTTTGAGCTTTGCTACACATCGAACGTAAGCGATGAACGACAGAGATCTCATAGGCGTCATCTTCGTAGCTGTGTTCGTCCCCCTGATCATAGCCATTGCCGCTCTATGTATTCGTTGCCACTGTCACATTCAACGTGGTAGAAAGCATCCAAGGCGAACGCGATCATGTACAGTGGATACGGACTGGACTGATTATACATCCCCGCCATTCGAGCCAGCATATTACAATCCACGTTTCAAGCAACCTTTCAAGACCCGGTCCAAGAGATATGCGTCATACAGATACAACTTCGGCCTTCCTCGATACGCTCCAAGAGTACACGCTGCCAATACAAGATAGGTACCTTCTAGAAGACGAACAAGAGAACAGCATCTGCTGAATGAGATGTACGATGGCTTGGATATCACGCCAGAGATGATCAGACCGCAGGAAACGGAGATGGTGGAGCAGGCGCGAAGGCCAAGCAGGCCGAGGAGATCTTTCACTTTCTAGTGTGGGTTGCGTGGAATTATGTTCCAGGCTTGCGACACACTGCATCGAACGGATGAAGTACCAAACGCTCACAGAGGATGTGTTTTCAGATGCAATGGTAACGGGTTATGGCCTATCAAGGCCGTTCGAACTCTTGATGCGTTGTCAGTAAGCGCTCATTGCAATCAATGTAACCATTGCTTGTCTAATATGTCCGTATTGATGGTGAACAAGTCCGATTCTACTGCACTTGCTTAACGCTCTTCCATTTGGCTCGCAGATTCTCCAGTACCAGGGTGCAAGTAATCAATGCAGTCATGAGCGAAAGAGACAAAGCAGGTATCATCCTCATCGCCGTGTTTATCCCATGCATTATCATTGGAATCATGATGTGCTACTGCTGTCACCGTGGATCTCGATCGTCTCGACCACCGCCACGTTCTTATAACCATACTTGGCATCGACAGGGCGGTGGAGATCACCTTTTACCATTCTATCCACAGCCAATGATACCATGGCAAATGCCGATACCTGCTTACACTACTCCCACTCGTCCACCGCCGCCGACTTTCCAGCCGAGCGTTCCACGACAGTCTCAGCAGCAGCAGGATGCGGAAGCTACGCCGTCGACTTGGCCTTTTGCGCCTTTCCCGCCTACACCGGTGATGAGGCCACTGAACCCTGCCGCGATTCCCCTACCAGATTCTCCGCCTATAACCAGGTTGACTTGAACCGCGCGAGAGCAGTTCAACTCCTTGGTCTGAATTCACTCGAACAGCGAAATAATTCAATAGGCGCTTTGCGCCTTTATATGATGGTGGTCAAATATAGGAAATGGTCGTCTTGAAGTGGATAATCTCCTAGATTCTGGGTGAAATTATAAAGTAGATGACAATCGTAGGTGCGCTACCCATCTACAACATGAAAGTAAACTTCTTCCTTTCTCTTCTCATGCTCCCACCCTCATCCAGCGGCACACCAGCATATTCTGCACTGCGACCATTGTTGAGTTTGCGATTCTCTCTTATCAGAACCCATCTCAATATCGCAGCGAGAATACCAACAAGAAGCATGAATCCTGCACATATACTCATGCCCTTGACGTAATAAGGGCCGTCGTCATCTGGGAAGATGCTCGTGCCGACTAATGGGCCCATCTGGCCAATGACGTTGAGAAGAGCCATACCGGTGCCCTTCTTACTATCGCTTTCTTGGTTGTTAAGTGTCCATGTGATGATGATGGTGATAGCGCTGAAGAAGCCGGCGGCGGCGGGATAGAGCGCGATGTAGCGGATCATGGTATTGTCAGATTGTAGGTATCCAGAGATGGCAATGGTACCGTACCCGATCGTTGCCAGAACAGAGTGGAGCATGATGAAAGTCGAGCGTGATTGTAATCGATCGGAGTAATATGCAGTCGTGAGGACGACAACGAAAGCAAAGAGGTATGGTGGAGCTGAAAGTCCTTGAGCCGTGATGGACTCCCAGCCCATATCTCGGATTACGGTCGGCAGGAATACGGGCATGGAACTGAAGGCCACGTTACAGGAGAAGAACATGAGTGCTGTCAGGTAAGACTTCGGATCCTTTAGGGTCTGTAGTACTTCGTGGACATCCACACGTCCTCTTCTTCGTCCACCCTGGTACTTCTCTTCTTGGTCTTCATCTTCGCTCTCCTTTTCTGACCTCAGCCTCATTACTGCAACCTCGCGCTGTCGGGGACTTAGCCACTTTGCCAGTCCTGGTCCATCTGGTACAAAGTCCCATGCCCAGACGGCAATCAATACGGAAGGGAACCCTTCCAGAAGAAAGAGTAGTCTCCAAGGACTAAGCGGGCCATGTTCGCCGACTTTGGTAATAACGTAGGCCAGCGCTCCGGCAAACGATGCTGAAAGGGGGCTGGCGCTGATGAAGAGTCCGGTTCGAAAGGCGAGCTCGGATCGGCGGAAGAAGAAGGATAGGTAGAATGGTACGCCAGGTCCGAACGCTGCTTCGCTGATGCCGAGAAGTGCTCGCAGCACAAGAAGGAATCCGAAGGATGTCGCTACTGCCTGGAGTGACGCAACTATGCCCCAAGAAAGGATGCATAGAGATATATAGATATGCGGCGGCACGATTCGATACCTATCGAAATTAGCTATGCGGCCTTTGTAACTGAAGACTACCTACAGTAGTGTCATCCATTCGAAAAGAATGTATGTGATATAGAACGCCCACAGTAACCACTCATACTGCGTGGAGCTGAGCTTCAGGTCATCTGCCAGACCAGCTATGCGCGCATTGCCAATATCTGCCAAATTCATCAGCAAGTGTCGCAGAGCCTACCAGACCTGCTTTACGCACATCTGACGTACATGTCTCCCCAACGAGTCTTCTAGGTGTAGAAAGTACTCACTCGACCGATCCAAGAAGCTCAGCATGTACAACAAGGCCATGAACGCGACTAGCCGCCGATCAAGCTTCTTGAGCACTGTGCGATCCTCATCTGGTGTATACAACTCATAGCTCTGCACAGAGTCCAAAGAGGCGCGCCGTATACTAGGAAGGAAGCTCTCGTCTTCTTCTCCCAGCCCCTCTTTCGATGCGGGTTCATCTCGTGGAGTAATCGTGCGAAGTTCGAAAGAGTTCGGCTCGTGTATCATGGACAGGCCATCGGAGGAATGTGAGGAGCGTGGAGAGGGCGTGAACTTGGGAGAGCTTTCGTCGGCGCTGTTGGATGCTGGTGCATGCTGAGTGCGGCGGGAGGAGGATGGCATGCTTAGGTTCGTCTGTCGGGAATGAGCCGCATTGGGGACTAAGAGATTACATCGAGAATAGGAGTAAGTAGTCAAGGCACGAGCTCGTCACCGCTGACAAGTCGCGTAGTTCAAAGTGTCAAAGCTGTCTCGCTCGTGAGATGACGCGTAGAAGCCCGTGCGCTGCATACCCCACAATCCAGGATACCGGGTACTGCTTTGCCGTCACGTCCTTCTGCCTTCATTTAATCACTTTGCAAAGTAAACTCGACATTTTGAAGACGAATTTTCAACTTTTCTTTGGTTACTTTTATTGGCAGCCGTGATCTGAAACCTTTCCGCACTACCGACATCCCAGAATTGATCTCAGAGTACATAATGGTTGCAGAACCACTCATTCCAGGTGACTCAAATCGGTCTCGTTATGGATAACGATGCGTCCGTCCGGCAATTTCTTTACTTTGTAGTATCCCAGCTTTACCGCCTCAATGGTGTCGATCCCCTCAATCTTCATGCCCAGCGCACGCAAAGGCGATCTCAGAGACGGGCCCCCATACCGGCGCCACTCGTTCACCTCCTTAGGAATGCCTGCCTCAGGAAGGTCATCCCAGTGATACATCTCTTTTGCGACTTCGATGCATGCGTGTCTTTTGTCTGCATTCCACCATGCAGGAAGGATCCCCACAGTCTTCTCGCTGTTGGCGATATGCTTAAGTAGTCCTTCGAAGAGGTAGCCGGTGTTGTACTTGACGGTGGCGTCCATATACGAGTCGCGTGGGTCTATCATAGTCCCGAGGCTGCAACGTTTTGTCTCATCCCAAGCGCGGAAGCTCTCGATGAGGAGTTTGTAGGCTGTCGGCTCGTCTTTGTTCAGTAGAATCTTGTCAGAAGCGGAAGCTTTCTGCTCGTGAATTGTCATAGGCTCATCTTGTTTGATAAGACCGGGCATAACCCCATCATATGAATCCGCGGACGTAATACTGAGGTGAGTGTTGTGCGGGTAGATGCGTGCAGGCATACGTTGTTCAGGCCAGTTCTCATCCTTGTGGTTACGAGGTTTGTTGCACCGGTGCTTGTGGACATCTTTCCAATGCGCCTTCTGGCAAGATAGAGAGCAGTAACGGAGCACCTTGCAGCCGCCGCAGCGCTTGAGAGGATTGGCGGGTTCTTCGATAACATTGCAGTTCGAGCATCGGAAAGGACCTGCTGAAGGTCAGTAAAGTGACATGAGCAGGAAAGAGAGCGACTCACCTTGGATTGCCATGCTGTTGCGTCGTGACTGGGTCTTTCTGTCTGAATGGGTCGTGCGAGCAGAGATGGGGAGTGAGGGAGCCTTGGTCGAGGGCGAAGACGGAGGAGGTGAGAGCATGTCTCTACCCGTAAGCTAATACAAATCGAGCAGATAACGTCTCGATGTAGCAAACACGCCTGCCGGTGACACAATCTCTGCCTCTTCACTGATAGAATGCTTAGGTGGCCCACTATAACAGTGAGGCTAGGACGGGAAGGCGCGCCCTGACTTTTCGTTGCATGTGGTACAAATCGGCAAGGTCAGGATGAGACAAGCGTTACAAGGAACATACAATTGATACCGTTCGTAGCTTGCGCCGATGGAAATTCGACCTTGACCTGTCCTATGACAAGTAGCTCACACCTTGCGGGGGATGCAGCGGTCTGTGCCCAACCAACTACCATTGTGAGTGAGTTAGGGAGTCACCAGATAACTGCAAGCGAGACAAAATTATAGTGGTCGCGAAAGAAGTGCATTTACCGATAGACACGGGTGTCGGTACTGGCCGGTCGGTCCATATCTGTCTATTTGGGCAATTGCCAGTCCTTGTAGCTCCACTTCTCCGACACGTGGTACTTCTTCTGCTTGGCGTATGGGATCTGTCTTCTGGCTTCGACCTTGCCCTGAAGCATGAAAGTCCTGAAGCGGTCCTTGAGCAGATTGCCTTCTGGCTTCAGAAGACGCAGAGAGTCGCGGAGCTCGTCTGGTAGAACGACTTCGAGCGGGGCCTCTGGTAGACTGTGGTCGATTAGTAGATGTTCGTTGTGTGAAACGTGGATAGGTACTTACGGTGCCTTGCCGAACTGCTTCTTCCTCAGCTCCAATTCTTCGCCATCGTCCTCCTCATCTGCGAGCTCTGCATTCCTCTGTTCAAGAGCTTGTTTCACAGCGGCTCTCGCCTTCTCCTTCTCTTCTACGCTCTTGGCTAATCTTTTGATCTCCTGGACCTGTTGTTCCTTGGCCTTCATCTTGGCTTCGTGGACCGCCTTTCTTTGCGCGTCCTTTCTCCTCTTGATCTTGTTCCGTTGTGACAGCGACTTCCTCTCCGGCCTCTTCTTCTTGGCTTCCTTATCCTCATTGTCACTGAAACCTTCCCATTCGCTCTCCCACACGCTCTCCTCGCCTGAGTCAGAATCTGTCTCAGCAGCAGCTCTCTCCATAAGCTCGGCCTCTTCGCGGGCCTCTTGCAGGCGCTTCTTCTCAACCTCGACAATCTTGTCGGATTCGCGCATGAGCTCGTTTTGCCAGTCTTCCAGCAAGGGGTTGTACGACTTTCCACCGGTAGGTTTGCGGACTGAGGGAATGGCCTTGCCGGTCTTTGCCTGCGAGATGGGTGCGTGCTTCAGGGTTTTCGGCTCGACCTTGGGCTTCTTCTTCTCAAGGTATGAGAAACGAGGATCCTCCTTGACCTCTTGCACTGCCCATGGGTCGTAAGCGGCGTCGCCAGTCTGTACGACGTCCTTCTTGGTCTGCTCGCCTCCGTATGCAATCGCCCTCAGCCTGTCGTATTCTTTGCCTGATACCTTTGCCTTCTTCCTCTTGCCATCGTCGGTGATTTCCGAGAGTCGCTTCCGGGTGGATACGGCGGGAACGGCAGAGCGCTTAGCGAGGATCTCGTCGACCTTGAGAGGCTTGTGTCGTTTCGCGACCTCTTTTTGGATCTCAGCCGATCCAAGGACATCGACGGCGAAAAGTTCGTCTGCGGTCTTCTCAGAGATGACACCACTGTAGAGGCGTTAGTGTATGCATCGACTGTGTGTTGTAATTGGAACATACCCTTGAATGATCTGGTCGCGCACATCTTCTAGGCCGGATTGAATCTCCGTGACATCGACATTCTTGCGCCAAGCCTTCTTGCCTTTGCGACTCGACTGTTTGTATTGCGCTGGCGCTGCTTCGGTGTCCGCCATGTTGTCTTACGGTTGCCGTGCTCGAAGTAGTTGTGGGGTTGTTCGTTGTCGCAAAAAGTTCGACCCAAAATTCCGACCAGCAAAGCGGCGCACGGGCTGGACCCACCGGGACCCCTGCCGCACTCGGTAGTCGGTGTTGGCCGCCAGGGTGCCAGGCCTCCAGATTCGACCGACACTCCTATTCAGACACGACACCCCACCAAGACACACGGCCGGGATATTGCTTCTGGTCCTCTGCGATAACACATTTCGAGACTTCCGATATTCTCAAAATCTACAACCTCCAGTCACAATGGCGCAGTCGGGCTACTCAAACCCGCTCAAGAAGTTCAAGTGAGCTGTCCTCCGCGGCGGAGACCAACTTCGTATACTAACCGGCTGCAGGCTCGTATTCCTGGGCGAACAAAGTGGTATGCATACTATCGCAGATATAGCGGTTTGCGACACACGTGCTAATCTACCTTCGCAGTGGGAAAGACGTCTCTAATTACCCGCTTCATGTACGACTCGTTCGACAACACGTACCAAGCCACCATCGGCATCGACTTTCTAAGCAAGGTATGCTCGCTGCAAAGCCGCCATAGATATGACAATCTAGTGCAACATCTAATCTTCGCCGCAGACCATGTACCTCGAAGATCGGACTGTCCGTCTGCAGCTCTGGGATACCGCCGGCCAGGAACGATTCCGCTCCCTGATTCCCTCCTACATCCGCGATTCTAGCGTAGCCGTGGTTGTATACGACATCACAAACAAGAAGACGTTTGAAAACACAAGAAAATGGGTAGACGATGTCAGAGGCGAGCGCGGCAACGATGTCATTATTGTGCTCGTGGGCAACAAGACCGACTTGAACGACAAGCGCGAGGTCACAACGGCGCAGGGTGAAGAAGAAGCCAAGAAGAACAACTTGATGTTCATCGAGACGAGCGCGAAGGTCGGACACAACGTAAAGGCGCTGTTCAAGAGAATTGCGCAGGCGTTACCGGGCATGGAGGGCGAAGGCCAACAAGGGCAGAGTCAGAGTACGTCTCAACGTACATATTGTTGCGGTGAACGCCATGCTAATCCAAGATGCAGTGATCGACGTGAACATCAACCCCAGCCAGCCACCGCAAGAAAACTCGTGCTCATGTTAAACAAGACATAGCCGTTTGGCAATCAACTTCGGTTCATTCGCTTAAGGGCGTACTGTAATTATTTGGGATGATGTTTTGCAAGTCTGAGAAAGTCATTGTCAGCAAGGCGTTCGGGCATGGGCCGCATGCATCTTAACGTCGGAAACGTAATCTGTAGTATACCAGTGCGTACCATGCGTACCACTGCATGACGTCAATGGAGAGATGCCGAGTGCTGTTTGGATTGTATGCATTGGAAGCCCGCATCTATCCCAACGCCGCCCCAGCCAGATGAATCATGCTCAACCAGAACGCCGGCCGTAGAATTGACCGACTGCGCCGATGCTGATCCATATACAAGAATATTACAGGGGCCGTTATCAGGTGGAGCGGGGTCCAAGAATGCTTGCTGAATTTATCGAAGTACTATCGTCGCAGTGTTTTACTCGAGGTCGCCTGCCGAGCCAGCCTCAGACGGCGTCTTGCTGCCGCCGACGGGGATTGACGTGTCAACTGCGATCATCTCGGCGAGAATGTCGAGGACGGGCTGTCGGGTGTTAGCGGGCCGTCGCCAGTTCATGGCGAAGAGCAGCAACGTACCTTGGGAACAGTCTTGTCGTAGATGTTGATCAATTCCCGCGGGTTGGGGTAGACCTTCAATGCGCGGTAGAAGCATAGCGCCGCCTCGACGTTGTCCGCACCTGGCAAACAATTAGCACCACGTCCCACCAAGAGGGCCAAACATAATCATACCCTTCTGCACCATTCCTTCTCCCTGCGCAACCTCTTGCATAAAGTACGCCTCGACCTCCTCGGGGTCCTTGGGGAAGCCCTCCTCGTTTGCCCGCTCTACCGCCTCTCGGATCGCCTTCTTCTGCTCGGCGCCCTGTGCCTCGGCCTCCTCCTTGGCCGCCCGCTCTGTTCGCTTCGACTCCTTCTTCAGCTGCTTGCGGAAGCCGGGGTCATTTCGTCGCTTGTAGTCGAAGTAGGCGGCGTATGCGAGAAGGCCTGTGACGATGGTGCCGGCGCTAATGGCCGCAATGGTCGATGGTTTTAACGACGAGTTGGACATGATGGTGGTGCGATTCGTGGGAGTGAAAAGCGCAATCAGGCGGGGAAGGAGCAGCTGGAGCCCTTTGAATTGGCGGCAGGTGATGGCGGTGATGTGGTGTGGTGTTTAACTTTTTCTCAGTGTTCAGGGAAGGCACGATTCACCAAAGTGGGCCCGAGCTCACACTCGAGACCGCGGCTCCACGCATGACGGGGCTCTACGAGTACCTGTCAACATCCACGGACGCGCACTCATGGCGCAGCTCCCCTCGCTACCACTGACCACAACTCCACTCCCGGCCCACTCGACGCAGGAATTGGACGAGTGTTAGAGGTAAATGACCTGGAAGCCTACATTGCGTTGGGGTTGGCTAGCTTTCGTTCTCATGCTGATGTAGGCTCTAGGGCACCTGTTCCGTTTCATCCTTGTATAAAGTGCTGCGCTCCTACACCACAATATTCGGTGGATCTTGCAGGCAAGATGTCAGAGAAACAGAAGGGCATCTCCCTCCGCAAGAAGCGGGGGGACAAGAGCAAGAAGAACGCGCCGCCGCCCACCATCAGCGCGCCGCGACAGATTAGTGCGCCCATGCCCGCAGGCGTCGCTGCTGCTGCTGCCGCTTCACTCCCAAGCTCCGGGCGCCCTTCGAACGAATCCAGCCGGTCGAGGACCAGACAGGATGGCCCCCCATCACAGCCAAGACCGCAGCGGCCAGATAAGACGGCGGATCTCGTCAAGAGGAGGTACTCCCAGAAGATCACGACGCTCCCTAGCGACTTCGGAAATGGGGAGCCTATGCCGCAGATGCCACAAATGCCTGTTCAGTACAGAGAGAAGAGTCAGACGAGAGAGGGACGGCCGCCCGGAAGCTCCAATGGACGGGTCCTGCAAGTCGACCCGCGCGCATTGCGGGACCCCAACCTGGAAGTAGAGCGATGTAAGGCTAACATATGGTGATGTGATTGCCTGCATGCTGACTCGCACAGATGTATCAACTATCCTCGCAGACGCCTCTGAAGCAGACATCAGCCGCTACCAGGACGAGCTGCGCAAGACGAAGCATCGTACATCGCTCGACCTCCAGCACAACGTATACCAAAACCGCACACAGTTTATCAAGATCAGTAAAGAAGCAGAGAAGCTCAAGGGCGAAATGCGGACGCTTCGTCAGTTGATGTCTGACCTGACAACTACCTTGGAGCAGACAGCATCAGCTACGGGTGCCGCCAATGACACCGCGAGCTCGCGAAGAGCTAACCGAAGTTCGATCGGAGATCTCAATCAACTGCGCGCAGGCCAGCTACAGCAGCTTTACAGGGACGTTGAAGGCTCGCAAAAGTATCTACCCCCAATACCCGGACGATATATCGTGTGGAAGTCAACGAGATGGTTCGAACTGGACTCTGCAACCCTCAAGGCAAGGCGAAGAGTGAGACTACTGCTACTAAATGATCATCTCCTTATCGCATCAGAAAAAAAGGCACGTAACGATGTTCCTGGACAGCGTGATGGCAACAGGGCGAATATGGAGTTTACTGCCCAGAGATGTTTTCCCCTACAGGATACCCAAGTGATTAGGACGCCAGAAGAACGCATCATTATACGCGCTGGATCTGAGTCTTTCACATACGACACCAAGAAGGAAGACAGTGGTGATAAATCCGCTTTCGTGGCTACTTTCCGCAAGACGAAGGATGACCTGCGCAAGAGCCAAGAAGCGGATGTACAAGAGAAAGACCGAACGCAAGACTCCTATAGCCACCTTCTTTCGCGCGACCCTGCCTTCATGAACAGGACAGAGTTATTGGACAATCTCTCAGACGGCATCAACAACGAACAAGTCAGTACTTTTGTTGACATTGACGGACAACAGCGCAATATCCGGTGGGTAGAAAGTCAACTAGACGATTTGGACATTGAGATCGCGCTCCAACATTTCCAGGAGGCAGTCCTGAAAGTGGACCGGCTCAAGGCACTTGCAAAGAACATTAGAAGCAATGAGATGGCCAAGACAATCGTCACCTACAAGGTCAATGAGCGCGCTGCGAAGCTTGCGAACGTTTTGGTCAAGCACATGGTAGAGCACAACAACTGGTTCACCTCTGTCAGGCAACACGTGAGTTGGGTAGTCCAACTAGGCTTCGAAGACCGCGCACGAGAAGCCTATCTGGAAGCTCGCGGTAACCTGATCAGAACTCGCACGCGGTATGTCTCCACTCCACCAAAGTCCAAATCATCCACTGACCCTTTCAGGCAATGCATATTCGAAGGCAATCTCCCAGACTATATCTTCCAGATCTCCTACATCTATTTCACCATCATCAAGAACACCGTCGACATGTATCAGAAGTGCTTCCCACAACAGCTCATGTCCGCGTGCGTCAAGTGGTCAAAAGAGCACATCGACCAATTCAACATACTATTAAAAAGGCAGCTAAGTAGCGTGGATGAAGGCGGCAATGTGTGGAACGAGTGCTTGAGATTGGCACATGAACATGCTGAGATGCTGAGGGAGGTTGGACTGGATTTCACTGAGTTGGTTGGGAATGGAATCAGTGAACAGGACGGCGAAGAAGCCCAGCCTGTAGGTTTAGGAGTGTCTTAAGCATTGGGGTTGCGTTCAACAATGGAACACCACGCCTCGCAAACAGCAAACATTTTCAACATGACCGTTGGCGTTTAGCGTCCATCGTCGCAGCAGCATGTGCTTTTCTTTGTCAACCCCCGCCGCTACTACCTCATCCATAGCCGCCTACCACTCTCACCAAGACTCTCTCAGACTCTTCCTCACTACTAATCTCTCTACTTTGGCTTGGAAAACGGCGCTAAGTGTGTTAGCGTGTCGCCTGTTGTCGTTGCCTTGTGAGATCTCGCCTTCACCAAGGGAATGTGGGTCTATAGCTGACTTCAATTGTCAGTTGTCTCTCTCACTCCTACATTCAACAATTTCGCGTGAGATTAGGACAACGACACTCCAACTCATACCAAATCTGCCAACAGTTTCCCCGCATCAAGATTCTGTTCGACTACCACCTCCAAGATGCCTACCGAAGCAGAGAATATCAATTATCTATACTTGGTCCTAACCAACGATGGCAGCCCTGTCGTAAGTCTCATCGTCTCCCTTTTTGGTTTGCATCTTAATCCAAGTCCCGTATACTGACTCATTGTAGATTGATTGGGAAGCCGTCTCCGCCGCGCTCGACCTCAACAAAAGCGCCGTGACAAAGCGATGGTCGCGTCTTAAGCAGTCCATGGACAGGAACGAGGTTCCCGGAGGTACAACGTACCAGTTCCTCTGGCTTTGTGTCAAGCACCATAAGCGAACTCAGGTGAGCACCAATTCACGTCCAGCCACATAGTTCGAGAAACCAGCAGCCACTAACAATAGTGTCTTAGCCCCCAAACTGGAGTGAAATCGCAGCCAAGGCCAATACTACTTCTGGAGCGGCGTCTAAGCGCTATTCTCGCATGAAGAAGGTATTCGAGGACAACGAAACCGCTCCCGATGCAGGCACTCCTCGCTCGCCCGTCAAGAACACACCCACCAAGGCCAAGGGTACTCCGAAGTCGGCCGCCAGGAAGCCTCGCAAGGCCACCACTTCCTCTGGCGACGATCAGGACGACGTTCAAACTACCCCGGCCAGTAAGCGCAAGCGTGCATCGCCGAAGAAGAAAGTCGCCGCCACCGATGAGGAAGCCAAGGTCAAGCCTGAGCCAGACAACGAGGGCGAAGATGAGGACGATGAGCTCCTAGATACCAAGCCCAAGCGCGCCAAGGTCGGCAAGAACAAGATCAAGGTCATCCCCAAGCCTAAGTCCAAGGATATCGTCAAGAAGGAAGAGACCACCGACGACGGCGAGGACTCTTTCGTCGACGCCCAGGAATCGCTTGACCACCAGGGAGATGCTCAGGATGTCCACCACGACAGCTACGCCGTTCAAGATCGTAAGTCATCCTACTCTCCAACTCCCCAACATCCCCACCAGCATACTGAACATTCACTAGTGGAGTCAGCTGACTCGCTTGGTTGCAGCGATGAATTCATCTGAGCTGCATACGCCAGCTGATGTGAGCTGTGTCGATGGTTGCGCGCAATGTACTTGCCATGCCAACGAAATCGCTAGCGTACTTATGAGCAGGGACTCGGGAATGGCTCAGTCACAGCGCGTAGAGCTTGAAGAGATGGTCGGTAATATGGACTGAGTGTTTTCTTTATCTTCATGAGGAGTTTAGTGGACTTCTGCAGCATGCATTGCATGGAATTTGGCGTCGGGCGGAATACGGTGCACAACGATGGCGTCAACTGAGTTTCAGGGGGAAAGGCTTCCAATCTTTGTATTCGATGTGAAAAATGTTTGATTCCTGGAAGCGCTGAGCTGATAAAATTTTCCCACGCCCTTCATACAGCCAGTTCGTGATACTTTTTCACGAACCCGCCAATTACGGTGTCAACACCAGTTTTCCAGTCGTCTTCCTACTCTCGATGTCCTGGGTCGCACGCACGATCTCGCTCAACGGATACACGTCGTGAATCTTGACATTCAGTCCGTCCTTCTCGATGAAGTTCCACAGCTCCTTTGCCGCCGTCTGCAGTTCTTCGCGAGTGGCGATGTAGTTGAACAGCGTAGGTCGAACGAGCTTGACGTTCTTTGCTGACAAGCGACTAGACGATGTGTCAGCTACTTTTCCTCATGAATAGTACAAGAAAGACTCACGCAAGAGCGAAACCCTCAACTGGTCCCGATGCGTTTCCAAACGAGCACATCGTACCCTTCCTCCTTACGACAGACAACGAGCTGTCAAAGGTGGACTTGCCCACAGAGTCGAAGACTGCATGCACACCCTCGCCTCCAGTAGTCTCTAGGACTTTCTTCACGAAAACGTCTCGGTTGTCCTCGTGGTATTCCAGTAGCACCTCTGCGCCGTTCTGCTTTGCCAGATTCCTCTTCTCTTCTGTGCTAGCTGTAGCGATGACTCTTGCGCCGACAGCCTTCAGCAACTGGCACAGCCATAAACCTACGCCACCAGCTGCAGCGGTAACGAGAATCCAGTCGCCTTCCTTAACTTCGTAAGCATCACGGATCAAGGTTACGGCGGTTAGTGCCTGGAGGAGCGAGGCAGCGGCTGTCTTGGTGGAGATGGAATCAGGGAGCGGAATTGTGTAGTTCGCTGGTGCAGCAGTATACTCTGCGTACGCGGATTGCGCCATGTAGGCTACGCGCGCACCCGGTTTGAGATCAGAAGGTGCGTTGGGTCCGACGGAAGCAACGGTTCCAGCGCCTTCCCGACCGAGAACATACGGGAATTGCGGTGGCTTGTATACACCAGAGCGGAAGTAGCTGGCCACAGATTAGCATGAAATCTTGGTTTCTGAGCAGGTGGACAGGGGTGCTCACGTGTCGATGTAGTTGATGCCGATGAACTCGTTCTTGACCAGGACCTCGCCTTCCTTGGGCTCTGGGACCGGTACATCAGTCTTGTACTGCAGAACTTCTGTTCCACCGGTCTTCTCAATGTACACGGCCTTCATGGTCTTTGGGAGTGAAGACATGGTTCTAATGATGGATCGTCTTGGAACGATGTGCGAATTGATGGCTGCGAGTCGTGCTGTCGATCTAGAGAGTAGATTTTTCGAGCGCAGAGTGTATGGTGCCAGCGTCATGAATCACAGAAGATGGGCTGGTGGTCGGCTCAATATAAGCAAGCTATCTCAAGAGAGGCATGCCCGTTGATGATAAATACTCTCGGACACGGCGTTAATTCCGAGTGATCTGCGAGGTGACACCCCCGCTCCCCGCACACGTCATTATCGTCTCAGTTCGCGACTTCCATTTCGACGCGGCAGACGCAGTCGCCTTCCATTTCTGATGAATCACTGCATCGGCCTCTATGAAGATGTACTTCGTAGGGCGCGCTAGCATTGTGTCAACCCGATAGGGCGTGTTCATTACAAAGCGACGTGTTCATAGATGCTACAAGTTAGCCAGGCGGGCATCGCCCGCCGCTCATCGGCCTGCTGGGCTGCGCGCCATCTCTCAAGTATCTATGATGTTCTTTCTCTTCCAAGGTTTCCTCACTTTGATCACGTGCATATCTGTGCACCTTGCATTCTCCCCACTAGGTACGTGCAGGTAGAGAATACTCCTCTTGAATTGAGATAGGCTTCTGGCAGAGCAAAGCAGAGTGAAGCAAAGCGTGATTAGTATCGCGTCTGTAAGCTATTACCTACCTAGGTAGGTAGACTGCGATGTCACTTTTGCTGGCGACAGCATTTTCTTGCCTCTCCTTCTCTAGCTCTCCGCTTCAGAAGCCAAACCACGCAAGTGTATTTCCCACGTTTACGACTACCTGGGAATGTCTAACTTCTCTATTGATTGAGCTGCCTCACTCATAGTCTACTCTTCAGGTCAAAATGGCAGAGATACGCACGACGATGGGAGGCCAGCAAAAGAATCTAGGCACACCGTAAGCTCGCTACTGTCCCGACTTCCATATCAATGTACTCATGGAATCCCCAAACTTTCTGGCATTATCGGCATTCAAGTGCTTTCACTGATATACAGCTAGTATGACCTAGCGTTGGCTGAGCGTGGCAGTACACCGAAGGCTGTTATCAAGATGCCTTTACATCAGAGCTCAGTGAAGACCAAGAAAGAAGACGGGAATCTCGAGTCATGCATGTCCTACATGGGGAGTTGGACTAGTTATTCCCCATGCTCCTTCCCAAAGCAGCATTGCGCTGGCGTGGAATGCTTGAAAAGCGGTGACCGAGCGCGCAGTGCAAACGGCCGCACATTCTACTAGTCTCGCACATTTCCCTCGCTCTTGACACTACATTGAAGGATATTCATCGCCGTTCAACACCGCCTTCTCACATCAGATACCCGACGTTCGCTATCCGGTGCTATCATGCTGGGTCCTGCATTACTCCAGTATGAGCTCATGTCCATGAAGATGCCCACGCGTAGTAAGTAACTTTTCATCTTCTCAACGAAACAACTATTCATCACAAACAGGCGATACCCCAGAAGAAGGTTCAGACTCTGCCGACCAACGTATCAATGAACTTCCTGAGTTCTCGAAGCTATCTCAGCGTTCCAGCGATGCTCACGAGCAACCCGGCGCGGAAGAAACCACAGACGACAGCAAGACAACAAGCCGCGCCGTAGACCAGAACCCACAGCGCAGCGCCACCAATGATGATACAAACGACGCAGATTTACTACGAGAGATCAAGAAGCTGCGCACAATGCTGGAGAAGACAAAGCATGTCGAGGACAAACTCGCTACCCTAGAGGTACGCTTGAGTGCTTCAGAGAGCAGAGAGAAGTCGATGGGTGATCGGCTTGATGCCATTACTCAGGAGCGGGACGAAATGGAACGGCAGCATCGGGTTCTTTGGAATCACTGTTTCTTTTTCAAGGCATGCCTGACAGACCTGACAGACAAGGAGACTAAAGCTCTAGATGTTCTGTACAGGGCCCATTCTCTACTCGAAGAACAAGTTGGGAAGCTAGCAACTGAGCAGGAAGCGTTCAATAAAGAGAACAAAGGCTTGGGTGACAAGTTGCAGACCATGGTCGAGTTCGCTACAAAGTCAAAGAATGCCGCAGTTGTGGGTAGGATCGCGAACGAGTCGGCTATGGCTCACATCAAGAATCTAGAGGAGAAGGTCGAAGAACTTGAGACAGAGTCGAGAAAGCAAGAGACCTTGGCCAAGCAAGAAGCGTTCGAGAAACGGCGGAGCGCTATGAACTAGGGTTAGTGAGCAAGATGACGCCTTCGTATGTATAACAGAAACGTTCTGGTTCACTCGAAGTTTGGGAGGGTGCCATTGGAATCTGGAAAGTGCAACAAGAGGGTGATCATCGGAATGAAAAGGAAGCGATGCGCGATATACAGAGGAGACCGTTGTTGCATCGCACCGTAGGCAATCATCTCGCCCAATAACTAGAGCTCGGTGGTTTTCAAGCCCACACCTGCAGCACACTTACCAATGAGGCTGCAAAACACACTCATGTTTCCACTACCACTTAATCAAAGTTCTGCCATACTTTCCAGATCTGACGCTAGGGTGAGGTGTCCTCTTTCACTTTTCGCGTAGCTGTATGGAGTTGGGTTACTGCTTCCCTCTCATCGCTCCTCCCTCAATCGCCTTCATCGGCGCGCGTCGGTGAGGCCACTAACCACTTCCGGTATCTTCAGTCGTCATATCACGATGAAGATGAGCTCACTTTAGGCGCAATATTCCACAGCTTCGTTTCGCCCTGCGAGAACCTTTGTAACAACACGCCCATTCGTTCAGATTGCACACACTCACACCATGGCGCCCACCAGAATCACCCTCGAGGACGTACAGGCATGGGCAATCCGAGACTTCCCTGACGAGTTCAAGCACCTACCTGATGCGGGAGTATTCCGTACACAGTTCAACATCATCCGCGACCGCAATCACAACAACAGCTTCAAAAGCTTTGTCATAGGCAGCACCTACACTAAAACAAGGAAGCCAGTAGATCTCATGGCCTGGCTTGCAGGCCCCCGCATAATCATCGGCTACATTGGAAAGAACCGGAAGGGGGAGCCGCAGGTTCGTCATATGACCTTGACAGAGGAGAACGCCTCTTCTTGGAGCTTGGAGTTCCCATTCAACTTGATCCCACCAACTCATAGCCAGACGGAGGTTGCTTGCTGCGATGCTATGCTACGCTACTACTTCCTTGCGAAAGGCTGGAGTGAAGGCGTAATCGACGATTCGAGCGTGTTCAATAGGTTCGTATCCAGATTTCCGTACGCTCTCCGGGCTGTTGCCGAGGCGGTCGCGGAGACGCCCGAACCGGTTCCGACCCCATACGCTTCGATCTTTCCACCAGAGGCTAGTCGTGTGCCGATAGCATCAGCAAACTACCAGTGTATGTCTAAGATCAGCCATCAATAAGTTCCGAGTAACTAACAGTCGAGCTCAGCGCCTTATCCCGAGAGGGATCCCTACCTTTTCGAGCATATTGCGAACGACCCACTCCCAAGCCAGTCGTATACTGTGCTCAGCAGCCCGTCGCCCAGTCCGCCGCCAGTCGAGGACCCTATAACGCCCCAGGTATTCCGCTCCCCACTTGAGCTGCAGACCCGATCCGGACATCTAGAACCAGTCAATCCTGGTGGCGATAAGATCGTGGCACTCGATGGGTCGAACGATGCCGACGAGCGAGACAGCTCCGGGCTGCGAAACAAGCTTTTCGATCTCAACATCCGGCTAATGATTGCGGAAGGTCTCGCTCGGGATGCTGAGACCGCAGCGCGGACAGCTCAGGAAGAAGCACAACTCTGGAGGAAGAGGTATGAAGAAGCCGAGCTCTACAGGATCAAATATGAGGAGATCAGGAGCCACTTTGGATTGCAGGAGCAGGATGAACGCAGAACGTGAAGGTCGAGGGTCAGAAGTGAAATTGAGAGGATGGAAGTTGTGGATGTATATGTCACGCAAAGTGCCAGCGATAGAGGAGGTGTGGATAACGTTTCGGTTGTAGCAGCGGTCGAGGGCGAACAGTTGATGCGGGAGGCAGCGCGGTGCGATGATAATCTAAGGGTAAATCCGGGCGATCCGATCGCATGAGCGTAGCGTCACTGTCAGCTTTACTTTGAGGAATACATCGCTTTCGTGCGTAAACTCTTACCGGTGCTCTTCGATGGAGGGAAGATGAGACGTGTCCAGGGTCCATTCACATGGGGCCTTAAGAGACAAGGGCGCCCCGCTTCCAAGGTTACGTCGCGGACGCGTTCCCACGCGGACACAGCGTGAACCAAGTTCGCGCACCGCCGCTACGTCATCGCTCACATCGCAATCAAGCGCAAGCCCACAAACATCTACCGCGCGCAGAATCCCCACCTCACATGATCGATGCGCATATACATATTTTACTACTCTTCCATCCCTAGAGTATATTCCAAACCTATTTGAGGCTCTTTTCGGCATGGGCGCGTTACTCTCTTCCATCCTTGCGCCTATCGCCCTACCGCTGGGCTCATTCTTGGCCATTCCTATGCTATCCTCATGGTCGACAGGCCTAAACCTCATCTTCCTCTCGGTCGCATGGACGACAATCGCCGCATCCTATTCTCCTCTCCAACTTGAGCTAGTTGCGCCCCTAGTAATTCGGCTATCTCTCTACATTATACCCAGCCTGATCTTCTTGCTATTCGACATCGGATTACCAAGTCTAGCAATCGAGTTCAAATCTCAAGGACAATGGGGTATCCCAAACAATCAGAAGGGTGGCGCACGCGCAGTGAGGAGGGTAATTGCGTGGAGCTGTGCAAATGTACTGCTTAGTGTGGCGTTGCAAGCGGGTATTGAGTTCTTGATCACAGACGTACTGCAGATGAGGAGTCTGCTACTCATCAAAGGCAGTCGATGGGGATTGAATCACCTGCCAAACCCATGGACGATGGTCAAACATGGCATTCTCGGACTCTTATCTCGTAACGTAAGATCCCATGATTGCGTTCCCTAACAAAGAGGTACTGACAGACATGTCATAGGTTTTGCAATACTATATCCACACACATCTGCTGCACTCTCCGACTGGCGGTGTACTCTCGGACTTGCATCAGAGCTGGCACCACAGCATCAAGATCCCCTACTCCTTTGCCGCAAACTACGACCACCCCATCTGCCACCTCCTGCACCGCTTCCTACCTCTATACCTTCCAGCAATTGCTCTGCGGATGCATATCCTCACTTACTTGATCCTGATCGCTATCTTCAGTCTAGAAGAGACCTTCGTGTACTCTGGGTACAATGTCCTACCCTCAACCATCATGCTGCGAGGCATGGCACGACGCGCCGATGCGCACATGATGAGTGAAGGAGAGGGTAATTACGGATGCATGGGTGTTTTGGACTGGTGCCACGGGACAACAATTGGCAAGGATGTCGTTGAGGACCTGAAGGCGGAGATGGAGAAGCACAACGTGGAGGAGAAGGCGGGGAAAGCTATAGATGGCGCGGGGGAAGCGGCGAACGGACTGGCGGGGAAGTTTGGCAGGGCTAGGAAAGGAAGGGGAAAGAAGTAAGCAGTTCAAGCGGCGAGCCTATGGTCATGTAACGAGGTCTGTATACGTGTGGCGTTGGCGCAATTGGTTCGGTGGTAGTGTCCTTGGTTAGCGGTCGCTTCTGATACCCTCACGTCTGGTCGCTGGGAGTTCGTGGGCAGTTGGCGCAGTATCGGTCGAAGAATGTAACGTCTGTATCTCTATTCCTTGCATCAGTACTCGATTACCACCCAGTATGTACTGCGCCAATTGAACGCCCAACTATGACATCACGCAAGCGGAGACCAAATGTTCACTTTTGGACCGTCTCAGATTCGCTCGCTTCATATAAAGCCTTATGGTAAATGCCTTGTCGGAATCCTCCATGAAAAAAATTGGCTGCCGTGCCGCTGCGATTCTTGTTTACCGCTAGTACAGCCGCAGTATGCCGAAGTCGTCTTTCATCCCATGCACTGAACGCCGAATGCCCGATCGTTATCCGTCGCTTAGAAGACCATCTGGTGAGGCCTGTCGGAGCTACGGAGGCTGAAGCTGGCACCGAGGTAGTCGGCAAGGTGAGCCTCCTTCTTGATGGTGGCCAGGAGAGCCTTGTCGACGGCCTTCTGGTCCTCGACGCGGTCCTTGGAGGTTTCCTTCTTCTGTGGCTTTTGTCAGTATTGTCGCATTGCACTTCCATTGTGTGTACGTACCTCGGGCTTCTCGCCCTGCTTGAAGAAAGCATCCTCACCCGGCTTGTGGGCGGCCTTGTCCTTGGTGAAGTAGCCGTCCTGGCTGCACTTCTCCACAACCTTCTCGTCTACGCCGCTCAGGTCGACGCTGGTAGAGGTAGCGATGACATATCGGGCGTTTACGCGGCGAAGGGGAACACCGTTGACTTTGAAGGGACCGGTAACAAGGAGGACACCCTGGGAAAGGTGCTTGAGGACGACGACGCGCTTGCCGCGGAAGCGACCAGCAAGGAGGATGACGACGGTACCGGGCTGGAGAGACTGGCGGACCTTCGCAGGGCGGACAGATTTGCGGGCCTTGAGTCGCAGTTAGCGGAGCTCCAATTGATGTCTTGATTCTTGTCCTTGCACCCAAACACCCGCCGCGTGCTGTCGCAGTGAATGCACCCAGCACCCCTGCAGTCCTTCTCTTCCGTGCAAACCATCGTCTATCGCGAACGTACCTTCTTGGGGACAGCAACGTCCTCAGCAGGGTAGTACTTGCTGGCCTTCTGCGAGTGGTGCGGTATCGACCTCTCCCCCTTGGAGAACTTCTGGGTGGTGGGCTTCGTGTCCTCTTGTTTGGCCGCCATTTCGTTTCGCTGTGGTCGTTAGTGCTGGTCGGTGGTGTTGGCGATGGAATCGATTTTCGTGAATTCGAGTGTGTGCCAAGCTGTCCAATCGATACGCGCGACCGGGCCGAGAGTTGTTCCGTTGGTTACGTAACCCGCGTGGAGCTTGCAGCTTGCGGCGATGCTCGCGGTACCGCCGCTGAACATCACTGCCCCAACACCGACACACACCGCAGCCATGTCTATCCAACCGCTCATCACCTTCAAGGCCGGCCAGTGTGAGCTGACTGTAAGCGCCGCGGGAACTGACAATCCAGATCGTACACTAACAATAGCCACAGCGCGGAGAAGGCAACCAGCAGACAGTCAAGCCAGTGCCGACACCAGGCTATGTCTACCTGTACCAAGGAGAAGATGGTTTGTTTGCAACCTAATCAACCGCTTCCTCAACTTACATATGCAGAATTCGTGCACTTTTGCTGGCGACCACGCGACCGCTCGCTCGACCAGTCGGACCTCGACCTCATCATGATCCCCGGTGACGGCTCCTTCCAACCCTACACCGGCAAGGACTCCATCGATGACCCCGAGAACATCAAGTCGCCCACCGACGGCCGCATCTTCGTCCTCAAGTTCAGCTCGAGCTCACAACGCTATCTCTTCTGGTTGCAATCAAAGTCGCAGCACCCGCGCGGCGCGAGCTGGTTCAGCGAGCGCGACCTCAAGATCGGACAGGTCATTGACTTGCTGCTGACGGGCGAGGAGATTGATGTACAGGCTGAACTTGCAGGTATCTCGAGCTCATCCAACAATGACGAGGATGAGACCATGGAAGACGTAGAGCCATCTAGCCGAAACCGTCACGGTAGCACCGGAGGCGCAGGTGCTGGTGCCACAGGCGGTGATATCCGAGACGAAGGCGAAGAGTCCCGAGAAGGGGGTGCCGATGGTGGTCGAGCGTAGGTTCCATCTATTTGTATCGCATTCGGCGTCGTGGCGCAGTCTACCTTTCCGGACAGAATCGAGCTGCTGTGAAAATTACCAACGGCTCTATACAAAACTATAAAGATATCCTGTCACGGTACGGCGTTTTGGGAGAAGCATAAGACCATCCAAACATGGCGATTGGCACTGGCTGCTCATGTACAACAATAGAAAATAAGCATCATGCTACGTCTTCCACTGGCCACGCCGCGGCGCTCGTTTCGCGTTTTTGCTTTTGCCTATCCTCTTGAACATTCTCGCTAACGCGTCGACAGAGCCGGATCAGGTGATGTCTCTGCCATTGTGCAAGACTTCATGAACTCGCTCAAAGGCGGCAATGCAGGCGGCAGCTCACAACAACAAAGAGGATCAGAACCGTTCGCTAGCCTCACCGAGTTCCTCTGGCCTACGCACACTCTCTCAACCGTTGAGAACGCTTCCGACGAGACCATCGACGCACTGTGTGCCCAACTACCGACAATTCCTTTCCTCCTAGAAGCCGAAGTCGAAGACATCGATCAAATCGACCCCAACTCCGAGACCGCGCAGATGGCCATACAGACATTGGGTCGGGACGAGAAGATTGAGGTTCTGAGCAGGATCCTGCGGGCACCCCAGCTGAGGGGAGCATTAGGCAGTCTGAATGAGGCGCTAAGGACTGGTGCTCTACCGACTGTCAGCCAGGCACTGAACATTGATGTCGAAAACGGAGGCTATATGAGAGGTGGAGGCATGCCACTTGGTGGCGGAGATGCAGTTAAGGCTTTTCTGGAGGGTGTCAAGAAGACAGTGGAAAAGGAAAAGAAGAGTGGCGATGACATGGACACCAGCTAGATAGCCAAGCGGCTGTGGCGATTTGGACATGCTTCGGCATTGAATGACGACCGACACACGATTGATGCACATATAGACGACAACGATCAATGGCACGCGCACTGAATGGCATGGGTAGGATAATTGACTTATTCCCGCTCTCATCAATGCTTTTCAAAACCTCTTCTTAGAGGTTCGCTTCCCATCTAGGAGGATCTCCAAGATGTACAGAGTCAGTCAATGGCTTTAGCCTTCCCACAGATTCATACCCATTAGCGACTTTCATTCGTCTCACT